AAAAAATAGGGTTCTGGAATCCTCCCTGAGCTTACTTGAAAAGAAATTGGTAACAGTAGCAGCAGATCTTGACTGAGCACAATTACTATGGCCAGGCACTATTCCCAGCCCTCTAGAAAGATCATTTCATGTTACCCTCAGAGCACTACTTACCTTAACACCATTTTAGGACACTAAGGCTCCAAATATTTAAATAACCTGCCCTGGGCCAGGCATGCAAGGTGGCTCATGCCTATAATTCTAGCACTCTGTGAGGCCAAGGCAGGAGAATCACTTGAAGTCAGGAGTATGAGACCAGCCTGAGCAAGAGTGAGACCCCCAGCTCTACTAAAGATAGAAAAATTAGCAGTGTGTGGTGGTGAGTGCCTATAGGCCCAGCTACTTGGAAGGCTGAGGTAGGAGGACCCCTAGGAGTTTAAGGTTTCAGTGAGCTATAATTATGCCACTGCACTCTAGTCTGGGCAACAGAGTGAGACCCTATCTCAAAAAACAATAACAACAACAACAACAACAATAAAACTTAACCCAATGTCACAAAGCTAGCAAGTAGCAAATCTGAGAGTAAGAAGAGATTCCCAACAGAGATGGAGTTAACATTTATGATGTCCTGCTCTGTCAAGAGATTGAATATACTTTCTCATTTAATCTAAACAATGCTGCAGGGTAGGCACTGTTAACAACTCATCTGCGACTACTCCACGGAGGAGAAAATGAGGCTCTGAGATATTAAGGCCCCAACTAAGGTCTGGGAGAGGCTGCACTGCAGGGGTCACACCTAGGCCAGTTTGGCTCCTGGACTAAAACAGAGAGACAGAGAGGACCCGAGGCCATGGCGAGGGCTGGCACAAATCATCAATGTTTAAGAAGAGTGTGAAGCATTTGCGGCACAGGGGAACCAAGTCCTGACCTCAGGCTGAGGCTCAGCTTTTCAAAGGACACTTTATCAAGACCACGAGGCCCTCGGCAGCCGTCAGTTAGCTGCAGCGTCTTGGCTTTCCCCTTCTGAGAAAGGAGCGGGCAGGAGCGAGACCAGTGAGGGTGGGAAAATAACAAAGCATGCCTTTCAACAGTGAAATGAGTACAGGCTGTGCTTTTCTAGTACTAACTTTTCAGACACTGAATCTATGATAAACTGTGGTCATGTCTCTCTCTCCACAGGAATGGTATTTCAAATACAAGTTCCATTTCTAACCCAGAGAGCACGGCCAAATAAATCCACTTCTACACAAACAATGTGTCGGGGGGGGGAGTAAAGGAGCAGCTGTAAACCTCTACAACAACTTAATAGGAGACCCTTATGGCCCAACTCCCAGAAAACAGAAGTTAAATGTAACCTGTCTACCCACAATGGCAAAATAACAAAGCCCACACTCCGCACCTCTGGCACTATCACACTGACACTAAACAACCATTATCAGAGCTCTGAGGACTGGCCGGTCCCTTTAAGGAGTCTGGACTTCTGTCATGCGACAAGGGAAAGCCAGGGCATGATTTTCCAGGGGGGGAGTGTCCACATGAGATCTGTACTTCAGAAACCGTTTTGGCTCCAGTGTAGAGCAGCGGGGGACGGGTACAAGGCAACTCGGAGGGGCCGGCATTGAGGCTGCGAACCCAGGTGGCAGTAGGGTGGCCAGAAGGGGGCTTTTCCTTGACATTTATGAGATGAGACTGAGTGGGAGGTAAATCAGAAAGTACAGGATCTGGGCTTCTGGTTGGGAGAACGGGGTCAAGAACAACGCTCCCCTTCAAGGTGGAAACGTGCAGTGGAAGGTCAGGAGTGAGATGGGGCTGCCCA